TTCTTCTTCTCGCTCACTCGTCTGTCTCTCGGGTGCAAGCTCAGCACTGCCCCTGGAGGCCTGGAGCACTTCCGTTGTATGAGTGTATATGCAGCGTTTTCTTTATACATTTGGTTTCTTATTTGCAGCGCGTTTCTGTATTTGCAGCATTTTCCCTTTGCATTTGTTTTCTTATATGCAGTCGTTTCTCTATTTGCATTGCGTTTGTCCTTGTCGGCCACCGTAGCATAAAGTTACTAATCAAGGCCCAGAGAGTTCAAAGGACTGAATGCAAATACACCTATCGTGTCAAAAATCCCAAGATAATATTGACAGATTATATAGACGGTTCTGTGATTTGCTATATAAAGAGATGGATATGGTTCTCATACAAAATTCTTCCAGGGCTAACACCTGTAAGAAGAAGAAGAATCTCTGTAAGAAAAATAAACCTTTTTGGAATGCTGAATTGGACAATTTATGGAAAAATCTAAAAGCCGCTGAGAGGAGATTTCTTAAAAACAAAATTCCTTCACAGAAAGCAGCTCTTAAGATGGAATATAAACATTGTCAGTTGCTTTTTGATAAAAAGCTACGATTTTGTAAAAGAAGATTTGATCGTGGCTTGTCTCTTAGTTTAGAGCATTTGCAAATAAAAAATCCTCAGCTCTTCTGGAGAGAAATTAATAAACTGGGTCCTAAGAAAGACTCAAAAATTCCAATGGAAATTGTGCTAGAAAATGGTGATCTTGAGCATAAGCTTGACTTGGTGCTCAACAAATGGGAGAATGATTTTACTGTTTTATTTTCTGGCAATAATGGCATAGATGGTTTTGATGAGACTTTCTTAGAATATATTTGTGCAGAAAAAAAGTCCCAGGAAGAGAAGTTTGCACACGAAAATTATGAGCCCAATCAGCTATTAAATTCAGATATTACACTTGAAGAGGTTAGTAAAGCTGTTGAGTGTGCTAAATTGAGAAAAGCTTCTGGCATTGAGGGTCTCTCTAATGAAGTACTGAAAACACCTAAATTGTTACAGTTCCTGACCCATTTCATGCAAGTATGTTTCAAATCTAGTATTGTTCCTTCTGATTGGTACAAATCACTCATTAAACCAATTCCAAAGTCGGCCAAAAACGACCCAAGGGTCCCTCTCAACTATAGAGGTGTCAGCCTTTTAAGCACAGTTTATAAATTGTTCTCTAATATTCTAAACTCCAGGCTGTCTCAATATCTAGAGGCTGAAAACATTCTAGTGGAGGAGCAGAATGGATTTAGAAAATATAGATCCTGTCTAGATCATATTTACACCCTAAGTACTGTAATTAGAGCTAGAATTTCTGAGGGGAAGTCTACCTTTGTTTGTTTTATTGATTTCAGAAAAGCTTTTGATTGTGTTCACAGAGATTTGTTGGAGTTTAAACTTATTTCAGCTGGTGTAGATGGTATATTTTACAAAGCTGTTAAAGCTTTATACAAAAACCCAGTGGCATGTGTTCAGGTGAATGATATGAGGACAGGGTGGTTTCCCACTCCACTAGGAGTCAAACAGGGAGATGTTCTCTCTCCTACCCTCTTTTCTCTGTTTATAAATGATTTAGCCCAGCAAATTAAAAATGAAGATATTGGAGTGCAAATAGGTGATATGAATTTAAACATACTTTTGTATGCGGATGATAGCGTTATCCTGGCAGAGAGGGAGGAGGAGTTGCAGTCCCTGTTAGACATTGTTAACCATTGGTGCCAAAAGTGGAGAATGTCAGTTAATCAAGAAAAAACTCAAGTCATACATTTCAGAAAACGTGGAGTAAGTAGAAGCACCTTTAATTTTTATGTTGGAGTTAAGCCATTATCTTACACAAGGGCATACAAATACCTTGGTTTCACCCTGGATGAATACCTACTGTTTGAAGAAGGTATTAATACCCTTGTTGATACGTCAGGCAGAGCATTAGGTTCTATTATAAGTAAAATGAAGAATTGTAGAGATCTTGGCTATACTACCTTTTCAAAGCTCTATGATGTCTGTGTTTCTCCGATTCTTTTGTATGCAGCTGGAATATGGGGAGGGAAGGAGTTTTCCAAGGTGAATGCTATTCAAAACCGGGCTATTCGTTGTTTTTTATGTGTGCACAAATTCACACCTGTGTTGGCACTCCAAGGCGATATGGGTTGGGAACCCTGTTTAATTAAGCAGAAGGGGGAAATGCTGAGGCTCTGGAATCGTCTGTCTTCTATGCCAGAGGGTAGAATAGCTAAAAGAGTTTTTAACTGGGATAAACCATATAACTATCCTTGGTGTAGTGAAATGAACGCTATCTTTAATGAAGCTGATCAACAACACATCTTCATAAATGGTCTGCGATGTAGTGTCAATTTTGTGAAGCATAAGTTATTCCTTGAGTATAAAGAAAAATGGGCCAATGACATCTGGTTTAAACCAAAACTCAGAACTTACTGTCAGTTGAAAAATGTTTATTGTCCAGAACCATATGTGACTTAACCCCTGGATAGATCCAGAAGATCTCCATGTGCCCAGTTGAGATTTGGGATTCTCCCTCTGGCTATAGAAGTAGGAAGGTTTAACTCTGTACCTGAGGAAAGGAGACTTTGTACCGTGTGTAATTTAAATGTAATTGAGGATGAACTTCATTTTCTGTTTCATTGTCCACTATATGATGAAGCCAGGCAGCTTTTATTTCAGAAAATGCAGAATGTGAAGCCTGAGTTGTTTTGGACTGTACTGAGGATGAGGTTAAGTTGGAATGGTTTTTCAGAGAAGAGGTTTTTACTATAGCTACCTTCATAAAAAGTGCCTGGAAATTAAGAAAGAATGAATTATTTGTGTGAATTCTATTTGTATAATGTATAATCTGCATTGTTTGTTTTGTTTGTACTCTGGAGATTATGTTTGCTGGCTTTGATTATGAAATTTGTGTCTTGTAAGCCCTTATAGGCTGGGCACCTTCACTGGTGTATGACACATAAATAAATAATAAATAAAAATAAATAAATGCAAAAGTCAGGCTAATGATATGGATCATAACATCTAAACACAGTTTAACGATAGGGACCAGTTACGTGGGATTGCATATATATGTACAGTATCAAATCTGAAGCTTAGAAAAGTGCTGAAGAAAAATAGAACATTTTTAATAAGAACTATTTTTGTGGAAGGTGAACTGCTGATGCATCTATACATTCATACAAACTGAATGATGGCAAAGGAGCTTCAACACATCTAGAGTCCTGAGTTTGACCAATAACATCATACTCTGGTGATGTCTGTTTTCTGCAGAGACATGTAAGTTCTGTCCTCTTGATTTCGTGTCACCTTTGTTCTTGCTTTCCTTTAGAGAGAGAGAAAAAACAGAGTGAGCCATGTGTTGCCTCAAAGTCTTCTAATGCATTCACAAAGACTTTAAATCATAAAAAGCAGAAGTAGTAACATACCAAAGGAATATCATGAAGACTGTGCAGAGGACGTTCACACTAAGAGATACACCAGCAACAGCCCAGGGAAGTACTACACTGTGAGGTCCACACTGCTGCACATGATCTACCATAAGAAATAGGGGATGTAAACAAATCTTTATGAATCACACTTCATCATCATATTTATCATTTATGAGTCATAATGGCCTCATAATGTATTATGCTTTGGAAAACAGAAGTCTATGGTGAAGCAATATGATCATATCAATATGAATCCGAAAGTGTATCTCTGTTAAAGTCTATAAAGTTGTTATTCTAATCACCGTCCAGCTGTACACAGCCAGCCCAAGAGCTCAGAACGATCTTTAAAATATCTGAAAAACAAAGTAAAGTCCCCTTTTTAAGTCCTGTAGTCAGAGAATTCAGTGTTAAAATCACAAACCGTGTGATGGCTCCACGTGTTATATGAAGATGTTTTTCAAGTTATTTAGCATGAATTTGACGAGCTGTGGAAATGCTTGTTCTCTGCACTTGCTGGGCTACGCAATATCTGCACAAGGACAGTTGTACATTCAGTTTATTGTTATGACCATCAGATGACAGCTACAACAATCCTCTCACATTTGTTCCAACTCTTTGTACCTTTAACAGAAACAGTTGCTTTGAAGAAAATGTAAATCCGCCTGTCCTCCCAAACAGGAAACCATTAACTCTGAGTTGATAACAGGAGTTGGTGCTCTGTGTTTTTGTGTTTCATTTTCATTTTTTCAACCAAGCCTCTAATGAAGCCAAATTGAGTCCACATAATGAGAGACACACGTAAACTACCAAAACTGCAGGTTAAATTAGGAGCATCAGCAACATCTGAGACTAGTAGGGCTGGGGCGACGCGTCAGTTCAAACAAAAAAATGGCGGCGTGCAGCAGCAGCATTTGTTATTTGTTATTTATGTGACAACGCCTAAACGCAACACAGGCTCCGCTCCATTGACTGTGTGCACAGTGCCATGCTACGAGTTCGGGCCGGGCTCGGTTATAATTGTCTCACTCGGGTTGGGTTCGGTCAGGAAAATGCAGCCTGAACGGCGCTCTAGTGTGCTCACCTGTGTGTGTGTGTGTGTGTGTGTGTGTGTGTGTGTGTGTTTGCTAGCGCATTGGGGCCGAACTCCGCTGTGCGTGTTACAAACAGCAGAGGAGAACTGTAAACGTGCAACCATGTACAGACAGAAATGACATAAGATAACATAAGGCTGTTTAGTTTGTTTAATAAAAGGACAAGGTATAGACCTGTTCTATTGGAATGGTAACCTTAAATGACTTCTGTTGTGATCTGGTGCTATATAGAAAATATACAATTAAATAAAATTAACTTGACCTTCAAGGGGGTATGTTTCAATAAATGTTAATGATTATAAGAAATGTTCCGGACTTCATATTGTTTAAATTGCCTCATTAATCAAATAATGGAAAAATATTCGATAATCGAAAAATTAATCGTTAGATTAGTCGCTAGAAAAATAATCATTTGGGACAGCCCTAGAGACTAGAATAACTGCCTTTCAGGTGTATGCCTCTGCGAACCAGTTAAGTTGCTGTTGTCACGTTAAGGATGGAAAAGGTGTCCATTCCACTTTTTTTCAGGAAGATCTCAGTGTCATTCTGCAGGTCAGTAACAGTGTCATTCTTCAGGTCAGTAACAGTGTCGTTTTGCAGGTCAGTAACAGTGTCATTCTTCAGGTCAGTAACAGTGTGGTTCTGCAGGTCAGTAACAGTGTCGTTTTGCAGGTCAGTAACAGTGTGGTTCTGCAGGTCAGTAACAATGTCGTTCTGCAGGTCAGTAACAATGTCGTTCTGCAGGTCAGTAACAGTGTCATTCTGCAGAATAGTTTCTGTTTTATTTTGCATTTCATCAGAATATTTAGTCCATGTAATGAGAGCTGCAGGGAAACTTTCAACACTGCAGATCAGACTCAGAGCCTCACCCTCCTTCACACTTGTATTCCCAGTGATTTTGACTTCCTTCACATCTATGAGACAAAAATTGTATATTGTATTATATACAAAATAATGGCACCACTAAAAAATCCAACACACCTGAGCAAAGCATCAGAAATGACATGACAGAACATCTCTTATCAAGCGTCTCAGATAGTAAAAAGTAAAGCTGTGAATAAAGTACAGTATGTGTTACTCACAGGTCACGTTCAGAGTCACTGTCTCCTCTGTTGTGATGTTGTTTGTGAAGCTGACCTTACAGGTGACATCAGTGCCGTGGTGTTTAGCTGAAGGGTTCAAGGTCAAAGTTGAGCTGTGTCCCTGAGTGACAGCAGTCAGATCCTCAGTCTTGAAAGCAGTGATGTTTCCTGTGATGTGAGAGAAGTTCTCTCCTGCTCCTCCCCACATCCAGGTGATTTCAGGGTCAGATCCAGAGCAGAGACCAGGAGCAGTACAGGTCAGTGTGGTCTGCTGTTCCTCTGTCAGAGGAGGAATCATCACTGTGGGCCTCTGGGTCAGACCTAATGGGAGAACAGTCCATGAGTGGAATCAGGTGAGCAGCTTGAGGGTAATCATTCACTTAAATATGGGCCAAAATAATCAGATTATTAGTTAAACATTTCAATGTGGCAATAAGTAGGAGTTTATCAGGAAATGCTGCAGTTCATCTGGTTGCCATGAGAGGTCAACACATGCAAAACATTACTTCATGCTCCATTGAGAATATAAATTCACCAAACATACTGTTGCAGTTTATAGGCACAACAATAAACATCTTCACTGAATATATTTGTTGTAGCTCTCTGTACCTTTAACAGAGACAATTGCTCTTGTATAGAATATATATCCAACTCCCTTCCCATACAGGAGACCATTTACCCTGAGTTGATATGATCCAGAGTCGGACTCAGTGAGGTCATTGATGATGATGCTGCAGTTCCCCTGATTCACATCAGGCTCCAACAGTGACACTCGTCCTTTGAACCCAGACTGAACTTTTTTGTTGTTCTTGTTAGTGTGGTATATAATGTCTGAATCACCACATCTTTGTTTTGATGGTTTACATTTGTACCAAACTATATGTTGGGGTATAAAGCCATATCCAGTGGTGAAAAGACACGGTATCACAACCAGGGATGTAACGATTACCGATATTACGGTAAATTTCGGTTAATTTTTTCACGGTAAGAATTACTGTTTATGTTTAAATTAATTACATTATCGCAGTGGATAATCAGGATATGTAGTAACAGCCTCATTCAAGTCTCACAATGCAGGCGCTGCGTGAATGCGTACCAAACACTAAGAATGAAAACATGGCGGAAGGTGGTGAATTAAACGCACAGAGTCTGAGGTCTGGGCGTACTTTGGGTTTCTGAAGAATGCCCAGGGACAGCTGGTGGAGGACAACTATCCTGTGTGCAGAACATTCAGAAAGAAAGTTGCTGCGAAGGGTAGCGACACTACAAATCTGCTGGATCATCTCCGTGACCATCATCCACAGCTTTACAGCCAATGCAAGTTATGCTATGCAAACGTCAGTTATTGTGTGAGGGACTTCAATTTTACTGAGATTGTCATAATGTGTAACTCTCGACGTATACTGGACATTTGAGCCGTATCTGTCCTCCTAAATGGCGACTAGATCTTCCGTTTTCGTTTAAGACACTTAGGAGCTAAAACTAGCTGAATAGCTAATAGCCGTATTAGCAGCTATGTTGCTAAGTGTCTCAAAACGAAACGGAGCTGTAAACACTGAGTGGAGCCGACAGAATATAAACCGATGTAACGTAACGCTAATTGAGATCAACTATGATTGAATCACTATGATTATGGTTATTGTATTGCGAGCTAGAATCGATATAGACGGCCAGTTATGCTTTCTCGACATAAGCTCAAGGAAACAACATAAAACGCTGCCGTGTTAACCTTTGACCGAGAGCCTTAATGGGGGCTCTCGGTTTTATAAGGTTAATTAAATTCACTGCTCACAGTCTTGACCTAACAAACACACACACGAGAACATGCACTCCTTTTCTCATACAGGCACTGACTCCTCTCACTCACATGCACACTTCTAATGTGTAATGATGACCATTGCCCTTAGGGTTTTTTTGGTTTCTCCTGCACATTTGTGATACCTATTCTATATTTTTGTTCTACTCTTGCATTGTTTTGTTTAATATATATTTTTCCTCTCGTGCTATATAAATTGTTTACATATTTTGCTGACTGTTACGATGCACCAGACAAATAAGCTTTGTTCCTGTAATTTGTTTACATATTTTGTCATTTAAAATAAAATTTTCTGTTGCTGTGCCAATCCCTTGCCCCTTTAATGTGAAAGTTTCATTTTAATATACACTGCCTGGCCAAAAAAAAAGTCACCACCAAAAAAAAAGTCATACACTCTAATATTTCGTTGGACCGCTTTTAGCTTTGATTACAGCACGCATTCGCTGTGGCATTGTTTCGATAAGCTTCTGCAATGTCACAAGATTTATTTCCATCCAGTGTTGCATTAATTTTTCACCAAGATCTTGCATTGATGATGGTAGAGTCTGACCGCTGCGCAAAGCCTTCTCCAGCACATCCCAAAGATTCTCAATGGGGTTAAGGTCTGGACTCTGTGGTGGCCAATCCATGTGTGAAAATGATGTCTCATGCTCCCTGAACCAGTCTTTCACAATTTGAGCCCGATGAATCCTGGCATTGTCATCTTGGAATATGCCCGTGCCATCAGGGAAGAAAAAATCCATTGATGGAATAACCTGGTCATTCAGTATATTCAGGTAGTCAGCTGACCTCATTCTTTGAGCACATACTGTTGCTGAACCTAGACCTGACCAACTGCAGCAACCCCAGATCATAACACTGCCCCCACAGGCTTGTACAGTAGGCACTAGGCATGATGGGTGCATCACTTCATCTGCCTCTCTTCTTACCCTGATGCGCCCATCACTCTGGAACAGGGTAAATCTGGACTCATCAGACCACATGACCTTCTTCCATTGCTCCAGAGTCCAATCTTTATGCTCCCTAGCAAATTGAAGCCTTTTTTTCCGGTTAGCCTCACTGATTAGTGGTTTTCTTAAGGCTACACAGCTGTTCAGTCCCAATCCCTTGAGTTCCCTTCGCATTGTGCGTGTGGAAATGCTCTTACTTTCACTATTAAACATAGCCCTGAGTTCTACTGTTGTTTTTCTTCGATTTGATCTCACCAAACGTTTAAGTGATCGCCGATCACGATCATTGAGGATTTTTTTCCGGCCACATTTCTTCCTCGAAGACGATGGGTCCCCACTATCCTTCCAGTTTTTAATAATGCGTTGGACAGTTCTTAACCCAATTTTAGTAGTTTCTGCAATCTCCTTAGATGTTTTCTCTGCTTGATGCATGCCAATGATTTGACCCTTCTCAAACAGACTAACATCTTTTCCACGACCACGGGATGTGTCTTTCGACATGGTTGTTTAGGAAATGAGAAGCAACTCATTGCACCAGTTGGGGTTAAATAACTTGTTGCCAGCTGAAAGATAATCGCCCATGCAGTAATTATCCAATAGGAGGCTCGTACCTATTTGCTTAGTTAAATCCAGGTGGCAACTTTTTTTTTGGCCAGGCAGTGTAAGATTTTGGATGTTAACATTTTGGTATGATAAGGAAGTTACAAGATTTAGTGAAGTTATTTCAATATATCTATTTTTTGGACATTTTACAGCGCTTGAAAAAATATCACGATATTATTGTTTACTGTGATAATTTGGTCACTATAATCGAGATATCAAATTTTCCATATCGTTACATCCCTAATCACAACACAGAGTCCAGCCTCTGCTGTTATTTCTCCTTCACTGAGAGTGATACAGTATCCTCTGTCACAGAATGGTCTTCTCCAATCTGCACCTATTAATAAAGACAATGAAAGAATATTAGAATATTTACATTTTGACAATGCACCATATTTAATAAAATATGAAGGCTACTACGACTGTTTTTGTTTCACATCTCTGCTGTAGAGCAGAATGCATCATAATTTCAGCATTTAACATGTTTCTTTATCCCTTATACATATGATTAACAAAATGTCCATTTACATAACAAGTCCATCGTTTCCAACTCAGTTAATAGATGCTGTGAGGAATGCTTCTAATGGTGCTCGAACTAAATATAACTAAATAACTTTAAGGACATTAATCATGGCAGATTATATCTATGTATTTCGTTCATATATTTAACGTTGACATCATAACAAGATTATAATATAAGATGCAAACCTGTGTCAGCATTGCTGCCTCTTACAGAGAACAGCAGGGTCACCAGGATGACAACAAACATCCTGATTTGATGTTTGAGACACTCTCTCCCTCCACAGGATAAACTTTACCCTGAAAATACAGTGAAGATAGAGGAACTAAACCAAAGGAAGCTCCACAGCTGACATTACAGATGAGAATACAGGATGTACAGATGATTATCTGTTATCTAAAATCCCCTAAAAACCCAGACTTTCCCCAAAAAAATGCACACTAGTTTACAAGTAAAGCAATGGATTCTAAAAAGCATTTTATGACATTAGTTAGTGAAGAAAGACTTCTATAGTTTCCATTTACAAATTAAAGATATTTTAGAAATTAAAAGTTGTGTTTATGTTTCTGTCTTGTTCTTCTGCTCTCTTCTCTCCACAGCGATCTGAACTGACTCTTCCTCCTCCCTTTATACTTACCTCTGCACAAGGTCATTTCGCTACACACTCTCCTCAGACTGACACATTCTGAGCAAAAATCTCTAAAATATCAAGGTGATATATTTTATATGTATATATGATGATGTGCAACTTAAACAATTAACGAAATGGAACAAGTCCTGATTTTTCTTAGATCATCGTCATGACTGACCATATGTGTGTACCATATGTAAGGCCCTGAAGTGATTCTTCATTTAATCATCCCCTTATAAGGCATCACTGTACTGTCTCTACCAACTTCCTCTTGACACATAAAGGTGCTACATTATAACTATTTTCAGCTACGAACTGGCAACAACTTTGTCCTTATCATTTACTACAGTACATGTCTACAGATTTAACGCTCACTACAGAACCTGTTGTAACTGACAACTCAATGATTTTATCCCAAACATAAACAACGGTTTTCTGTAAAGAAAAATAAAATAAAAAGAAGAGACACCATGTGCGAAATACTGCTCACTCTCAGTACTCAGTAGTCAGGTTGATTCCTGTATCCATCCATTTTCATCTGCTTGTCTGGAGCCAGGTCGCGGGGGCAGCAGGCCAAGCAAAGCATCCAAGACCTTCCCCTCCCCAGCAATGCTTTCCAGCTCCTCCTCGGCGTTCCCAGACCAGATGACAATTGTAATCCCTCAAGCGTGTTCTGGGTCTGCCCAAGGGCCTCCTTTTCAGTAGGACGTGCCCAGAACACCTCCAACGGCATCCTGATCAGATGCCCAAACCACCTCAACTGACCCCTTTCCACGCAAAGGAGCAGCAGCTCTACTCTGAGCTCCCTCTGGATGTCCAAACTCCTCACCCTATCTCTAAGGGTGAGCCCAGCCACCCCACGGAAGAAACTCATTTCGGCTGATTGTATCTGCAATCTCATTCTTTCGGTCATTAACCAAAGCTCATGACCATAGGTGACGGTTTGGACGTAGATGCACCGGTAAATTGAAAGCTTCGGGCTCCGCTCCCTCCTCACCACGATGGTCCGGCGCACTACCCACATCACTGCAAAAGCCACACCAAACTGCTGATCCATCTCACGCTCCATTTTACCCTCACTCCTGAACAAGACCCCTAGATACTTTAACTCCCTCGCTTAAGGCAGTAACTTTCTCCCAACCCAGAGGGGGCAATCTTCTGGTATCCCGCAGAGAACCATGGCCTCAGATTTGGAGGTGCTGACTCTCATCCTGACTGCTTCACACTTGGCTGCAAACTGCTCCAGTGCATGCTGGAGGTCATGGTGTGATGAAGCCAACAGAACCACATCTTCTGCAAAAAGCAGAGATGCAATTCTGAGGTCCCTAAACCAGACCCCTTCATCTCCCAGACTGCACTTCAAGATCCTGTCCATGAATATCAAAAACAGGTTGGGCAACAAGGGACAACCTTGGCGGAGCCAAACACCCAGTGAGGACGTGTTTGACTTTACGCTATGTATGTGGACGCAGCTTTCACTTTGGTCATATGGGGACTGGATGGCTGGTCCAAGAAACCCCAGTACCCTATAATCCCACAGTACCCCCCCCCAAGACTCCCCAAGGGACGCAGTCGTAAGCCTTCTGCAAGTTCACAAAACACATGTATACTGGCACTCCCACGACCCCTCCAGCAGCCTTGCAAGGGTAGAGAGCTGGTCCACTGTTTCACAACCAGGACGGAGTCCGCATTGCTACTCCTGAATCTGAGGTTCGACAATTAGTCGGAGCCTCCTTTCCAGCACCCTGGAGTAAACTTTCCTGGGAGGCTGAGCAGTGTGATACACCCATAATCAGAGCACACATTCTGGTCCCCTTTTTTGAAAATGGGGACCACCGACCCCGGTCTGCCACTCCACAGTCTTCATGCGACACTGAAAACGCATGTCAGCCAAGACAGCCCAGCCCTGTAACACATTAAAAATCCATGACTTCTTAAAGAACATATTGAGACAAGTTGGGCCAAATGTTTCATCAGTTTGGAGTTACAGATTAAATAAAAAGCCAAATTTTGAAAATAATAATAATGATAATAATAAAAAAGACAGCATACTGATTTGTTTTTAGAAATTCTTCATATTTTAAATACATTGCATACATTCACACAAGTTTACAGTAAAAACTGGCCCTGAACACGACCCATCCTAATGCAGTTCCACTGTAACAGATGGGGGGAACAATCTACAGTCCTCATTTTTGGGGGAAAAAAATGTCAGCCAAAAAAATGTCAGCCAAAAAAATGTCTTAAAATGTCTTAAAGTTCAACTGAAGCCAATGTGCAGCTTCAGCTGTCTAAATTAGAAAACTGCAAATCAGAAAAAACAAATCATGGAAACAGAATGACAGAATTTTGTACCACAGTAACTGCATCTTTAGAAGTTATCCACGTTATTTTTGAATCTACGTATGTCCATGTGCATGAGAGTAACCACTTAAAAGTGAGGGTTAATTTTTGCCTGAGGCAAAGAAATGTGGGCTGACATATTTATCTTTGTTAAATCAAAAGCACCAAACAAAAGATCACTTTGGCTCTCAGAGAAGAGAGAATGGAGATGGTTGTCCCTTTACAAGCTGCTGCCATAATGGCAGTGTCGACTTGTTCATGGATGTAGGTAAACTTATCCGGTAAGTTCATGAAAACTAAAACACAATAACACATAAGGAAATTCTGTCCAACTTCCAGTCCACTTTTGCTTGAATGAATGGATTTGCACAGCTCCTAATATAGAGGTGTGAAGCATCTTCGCCACTTCAGTTTACGGCATGCTGAATTTGGCATTTGAGGACCACAGCTTTGTGGTGGAAACCATTCACAAAACCGCCATTCATTCACCAGAATAACAATCCATCATCACTCAATTACATCTGATAAGAGCAAAGAAACGTTATCCTCAAGCAACTCCACAATGCAGCTGTCCTCACATCTCATCCATTACATCCTTCACACTGGAGTACACTGCCATTTCCTCCCCTTCCTCCTTTTCAGAAACATACTGTTTACTCCCCTCATTCTCCTCGATCATCGCCTGCTACTCTTTGCCCTCCAAAACTTCACCTTCCTCTTTACCATTCTCTTCTGTCTTCTTTTTCACTGTTTTCTTAACTTCAGCATACTCTGTCTCCGTGGTCTCCTGCTTCTTTGCTGCCTCCCTGGGACTCCTCTTTTTCATCACTGAGAAATCAATGCTGGCGTACTCCACATCTTTTGGTCCACCATTGAGATCAGACGTTGCTTTCTCTGCTGCCACAGCTCCCCCTTCTTCAGCCGCCTCTTGGTAGTAGGTCTGATCATCTTCCACTGCTTGACCAGCATCTATCTGTTGGTTACAACATAATTTATACAACTTATTTAGCAGCTGCTACAAGCATCAAAACTGTGTATGTTGAGCATGAAATCTCTCTTTGGTATATTTACATTACCTCCAACCATTTCTTTCAAGTTATACCATAATCTTTTATTTTTCAAGTGCTAATTCATTTCTACACTGTTAAAAAAAATCAGCATAAGGTGAGACTTGAAATGTACATGTTACATGTAGGTGGTAATGCAATTAGGGATGTCAGTTTCGGTTAAATTTGCTTTTGATAGCCATACACCTATGAACCAGTAACTTCCTGGTTAATTTCTAAAGGAAAAACAAAAAAACCGCAAAATGACATGAAATACAAGAGGCTTTTCTATTTAGTTCATTGCTTCATTGACTGAGTAAGCATTTCCAAGTGCTATCAATTTAGAGGTGATGAAATTTTGATGTTTTGTGATGTAAATGTCTTGCCTTTAATTTTTTTTTGGCTTTGCTGACAGCTAGCCACGTTTACATGAGGAAACATACCCACTGCCCATTCTCCAGTCTCCACTGCATAGCTAACCTTGGCCGCTCTGCACTGCATACCACCCGGGTGGGTGGGTGCTAGCTAGCAATCATTTGGCGATCGCAGCTAGTAAAGGTGGTCACCCTCCAGATCCCCACAGGTTGGCCTAGTGAGTAAGCAGTTTCACTCTGAGCTGCAAAACTTCTTTAGCACTGTTAACTATGTTAGTATCACTAGCTGTGCTGACAATTCTAACAGTGCAAAGATAGCTAAAAGTGATGCTAAAGGGGGTTTGAGGCTTAAAACTGAGCCGTTTACGGAGGGTGTGCACAGTGTTTTCATAGCAACCTGTTGAGTCCAGATGGTGTTACTTGCAGTAATCGCCAAATGAGCAGCACCACAAGTTAGCTACAACCGGACGCAGTTGGAGTACAGTGGAGTAAACAGTAGCAAAATTCATGTGCAATTGGTCAAAAATATCAATCGATGAATGATTAACCACTGACATCCCTAAATGCAATGCTTTTATGTCAGATCAGTCTGTACCTACAACTGCACTGAAAGCAACAAAAAGGGACGAGTGGCGTTTACTTGATAAAATATACATGTCAATCAATCAATCAATCAATTTTATTTATAAAGCCCAATATCACAAATCACAATTTGCCTCACAGGGCTTTACAGCATACAACATCCCTCTGTCCTTTGGACCCTCACAGCGGATAAGGAAAAACTCCCCAAAAAAACCCCTTTAATGGGGGAGAAAAAAAAACGGTAGAAACCTCAGGAAGAGCAACTGAGGAGGGATCCCTCTTCCAGGACGGACAGACGTGCAATAGATGTCGTACAGAACAGATCAGCATAATAAATTAACAGTAACATGTACGTGCTGCAGTAAAATAAAGGGAGTTTGTTCAGGCAGAACACAAAAGTTATGCTTGCTTGAGTTGACTGATAATGGCTGCTTTATTCACATTTCACCATCAGTGACTCCTCATAAACTGCTTGGCTAAAAGCTGAGTAGTATCATCCAATCCCATTCAGGTCCTTAATATCTGACACTTCTATTAATCTGCTAATGCTGAAGCTCACTCTACTACCCCAACCTCTTCTTTAACTGCTGTATTTTTGTTATTGTTGAGGTAACTATAATGTAATGTCTATGTCTGTGTTTAAGAAAAGGGGATTGTTTCTCCTAGGAGTCTCTTTGTTGCTTAGTTGAATGAATGTACATACTAGTGGATACTCTTGACTGGTCACCACCTCCAGAGTCTCATCCAGATTTCCAGAGCTCCTCTGTTTTTTCCTGTGGGAAAAATGTAAAAGTTAAAGTGTGAATAATATCCACAAACAAATCAGAAATTCATTACGGAATTCAATAGTGTACCTGTGACATTTGTTTGCCAAACAGCAAAGGACTGCTGAAAGAACTACCCCAATCAAAAAGGCAATGATGACTTCAGGCCACGAAACAATATTCTGCCTTTCACTGGTTTGACCTGCAGTCATGAACAAAAGAAAAATGTTGCTGTTCATGTTGTTCTGAACACTAAAAAAACATGCAATGGCTTATTTCCTTTTGAAAGCTTGTCCAACGGTTATGTGAGGACAAAGGTAACAGCAAAAAAAAAAAAGAAGCACTAAAAATGTCATAAAGCAGTGGTCTACAGTTGCTGATGTGTTTTAGTTGAGAACACGTACCATCTTGATCTGAGATGTCATTTCGAATGGTGAGGTTTTCTTTTGCTTCCCCATTTGTATTGCTGCTGACACACTCAACAGAAGTGCTGTGGTCTTTTACAGTCACAGTGACAGTGCTGTTGACCGTGTGGTTTGACACAGTGGTAACGACAGAGTACTCAGTGTGATTCTTCAATAGCGGCCATTTGATGGTGGGCAAAGGAAACCCCTCACTGATGCACACACAAGTCAGGACCTCTGACTGAACCACACATCCAGAGGTTTCCAAGATCTTTGAAAACACTGTAAACACGCAAGCAGAATTACAACATCACAACTAAAAGCAGATAGTGTAAAATGTGATCATGAAATTCCTTTTTCAGAAGATTATTACGGTGTACCTACAGGTAACAGTGATATCAGCATATGTAGTCACAGTTGTGCCCAGGTGTTGTGCTGTACAGATGTACCGTCCAGAATGTTCTGCTGTCACATCAGAGATGAAGAGTGTGGCTGATCCAGTGTCCTTCTGTAAGTCACTATCAGCTCCACTCTGCAGGTTTGTGTTGGAACCACGTACAGTCCATGTGACATGAGACGGAGGAAAACTTTCAACACTGCAGGTCAGATTTAAAGCACCTCCTTTCTCAACAGTTGTGTCTCCAGTGATTACAAGTTTCCTCATATCTGTGAAGCAAATTATAAACATAATATCTTAAGTCGAGATATGACAAAGAGGTCAGAAACAGATACAACATTTTTCTCAAATTAAATACAGAATGCATTGAATTAATGACATTTTAAAGACAAAGTCATTACATACATCACAACAACTTACAATATTTAAAGACAATCATTAACCTTTTCCTTTTCCTGAAAAAAGGCACTTCCACATCATGCCATTTTGCAGTATTGCTTCTGTTTTAGAACAGGAGTGTGGTTACTTTGCTGAGTGTTGCCACTCACTCTCACAAGAGCCAATCACTCTTTATTTGCCAAAAAGTTGTTAGTTTAGCTGTGAGTTTTAATGTTTTACAGGCAAGAAAATAAAAATTTCTGAAAGATTCCCAAAGTGTGATGCATTTATCCAAATAACACTATTTGGAAATTTGCAATTTTCCTTTTCTCAAGGATCAGTGGAAAAGCAGGTACTTCAGTTTGAGCATTTGGCCTGTACTGGCAACTATTTTTCCACTCTCTGGCTACACAAGCTTTTGTACGTCAACCTGCCGACTGACAGCAAGTAGCTCCTCAAAGCAGTATAGTCCATGTGATTGTGCAGTACAACAAAAACTACATAATCAGATTAAAAATTAAGTATAGGAGACATATAATAGCTTACAAACCTTCATGGTTCGGGGATTAAATACATTACATTGGTACTTGTATATTTTATTTTATTTACTTATTTGGGTGATTTTTATGACTGGTTTTTGTCATTTTATTTTGCCAATGTAATGGTTTGCCACCAAAGAATGACTGAGAGCCGCTGTTCAGCGGGCAGCTGACACACCTAGAGAAACAGTAGGGATGACTGGTGTGTACAGAGAGCATATTTTCACATCTAACTCTGAATTAAGGAGTTATTTCAAAAACCAGACTTGGTGATTGCTGTAACTGTGGAAAAACTAACCAAGATAATTGTGGTGAGTTCTTTTTGTTTGTTTGTTTTATATATGACAGAAATAATGTCAGCTGTACATAACATTAACAAATAATATCAAGTGTGTGAATTGTGTGTAAAAGTTATTGTTTATATGTATTGTCTGTCTGTGTTTCTTTGTTTGGTATTTTGCGGTTACCACTTGAGGGCGCCAAACTTTAAAGATTTTCAAACTCTACACAGAGTGGCTTTAAAGAAGCTATATGTAAGAAATCTAAAGCAAATAGTCATAAAATCCTCCTAATATGTCACAGAGACTAAGGAATAATGTTCATATAACATACTGATCTCACGGACAACAACAGTACGGCCAGAATATTCGCATTTAAAAAAATATTTATGGTCTGCAAATCATGTTTATGTTTTGAATTTGTGTTTTGGCCTGTTGCGCCACCCACAATCGTCTACCAGTCACACAGTCAGTAGAGTCTCAGCATCAGTTACAGTTACGACTGAGCTACAGCAGCACGGCAAGCAGCATTAGCAGTGTCCTGGTACATAGCATTAGCAGCCGGCTCCTCTGCTGTATCCCGGCAGCAGCGTTAGCAGCAGAGAAGCCGGACTTGCTCGAATGGTCCGCTGGAATACCAAAGATCACAGACACGGCGACACGGCCCTACCACGGCAGCCATCCGTGGGCAAACAAATCAGTCTCCAGAGTGCCGCTGTCCAGCAACCTCGAATCTGTAGGGGAGGGGGGGCGGACACGATTCGCGGCAGTATTTTGAATTTGAGTGTAGTAACCGTTTTGGCTGCATTCTTACATATAGTGCCTTTAACAGACAAGATTTTCATTATTTTAAACATGTGGCTCCAGTAGAGCTGAGAACCATCTGAAAGCCTTCATAGGTCCTAGGACTATTAAAAAAAAAAACAAAAACATTATAAACTAAAGGGGCAGAGCTGTGGAAGGTATTCAGGATGAATTTGGCAGGATTAATAAGGTCCTTTGCCCTAAACAGAATGAATAGCTTCAGTTCCTGGATTAGAAGAATCCAAAAAGGAAAAAACTACAAGACATTTTCTATCGTAGAACAGTTGTACAGTGTACTTACATATCACTGTGACATTAACTTTTCCCATCAGGGTGTTGTTCTGATGTTTTGCTGTGCAGATGTACAGTCCAGCATCTGCTGTTGTCACGTTAAGGATGGAAAAGGTGTCCATTCCACTTTTTTTCAGGAAGGTCACAGTGTCGTTCTGCAGGTCAGTAACAGTGTTGTTCTGCAGGTCAGTAACAGTGTCGTTCTGCAGAATAGTTTCTGTTTTATTTTGCATTTCATCAGAATATTTAGTCCATGTAATGAGAGCTGCAGGGAAACTTTCAACACTGCAGATCAGACTCAGAGCCTCACCCTCCTTCACACTTGTATTCCCAGTGATTTCAACTTCCTTCACATCTATGAGACAAAAATTGTATATTGTATTATATACAAAATAATGGCACCACTAAAAAATCCAACACACCTGAGCAAAGCATCAGAAATGACATGACAGACTATCTCATATCAAACATCTCAGACAGTAAAAAGTAAAGCTGTGAATAAAGTACAGTATGTGTTACTCACAGGTCACGTTCAGAGTCACTGTCTCCTCTGTTGTGATGTTGTTTGTGAAGCTGACCTTACAGGTGACCTCAGTGCCGTGGTGTTTAGCTGAAGGGTTAAAGGTCAAAGTTGAGCTGTGTCCCTGAGTGACAGCAGTCAGATCCTCAGTCTTGAAAGCAGTGATGTTTCCTGTG